ATTAATTTGCGGTGGTTCATGCTGGATAAATAACTCACTCATACAATATTGGCACTGAAGTTAATTAAAGTAAGAGAGGAATCTTAAATAGAGTGTGATAGAAAACTGTAATTTGTTAAACTGGAGTGTTCCTTCCCCGGCATGTCGAGCTAAATAGACGAATTTTTGCAAGGTTTTAGGAAATATCTGGTATGATCACATTAAGCGGTTTTCATGTAATGTGATATACCTATCCTCGATATTTATATAAGTGGAGTACATCAGTTGGCTGAACAGATGGTTTAACCAATTCTTACTAGGTTACAAATGTGAAGTTTATCTAAGTCAGATTGTTTAGAACGCTGCTTTTTATGTAGCTATTGGGATTGTCACAAATAGCATATGGTTAGTTATACATGATACATACAAAAATCGAATTCTTTGTAATTATGTGTGTGCAATAATGGCACAAGAGAGAATATACTTAATGATATATTTATTGATCACTCTAATCGTACGGTATGTGTAAAATGTAAATAAACATGCCGTAATAAATTAAACTCTTTGAGTATTGTCATGTGAACTTAAGTAAGTTGAGAAAAAGGAATGCACTGCTAAAAGCTGCTCACTTACGAAAACGTGATTGAAAGCTGTCACAGAAGTGACGTAAATCATTGGATATCTATATATATTCGTTCAGAACCATGTTTCTGCCTTAAGCTTTAACATTTGGCGTTCATAACGCGTAAAAGATAATCATTTACAAACAAAATTTGTTAACGGAGCTGCCTGTTATTCCCTGCCCTTTAGGGCAGAAAATAAATGGGCGAAATAGCTTGATTGCAACTTTCGTAGTAATCCTTCGGCATCGTTAATGCGTCAGCATTAATAAAAGAACTTATTGCAGGATTGTATATATTTAGTCAAACTGTTACGTTAAGTACTTGCTACTTTCTTAGCTGAAGTTATTAAAAGAGAAGAAGAAACCATTTTGAGTTTCAGGTAAAATAGAAACGGTCAACTTAGTCGACTAGCTTAGAGCATTTGGATTTGAATACAAAAAGCGATTGTCATTAACTTAAGAAGCACGATTTCTTTGAAACACCTTGTTTTCTATTTGCTAACATCACTCAGGGGCTCAAAAGCAGTTAATACATCTAGTTCCCTCTATGCTGATGAAAAATTAATAAACAGATAGGCTTTTTTTTAATTTACAAAGTTATATTAGGAGTATTTCCGTTAAAGTTTTGTGTATATATATATTCTACAGTTGTATATTCTATAGTACATAGTAGTATACAGTTAATTCTAACAATTGTAGTGTAATTAAAAAACGAGCGAAAGCTTGTTCAGTACTTCAAGCAACGCTCATCATGACCCTTGTTTCCTGGAGATCTTTCTCATTAACCAATCAGACTTTGTATCCATCCATTTACGTATGTGTGCGTTGCAAAAACCGTACGGTCCTCGAACTGCTTGTCAAAGGCAACTAAACTTCAGGAGTTTTAGAGCTTGAAGAATCAAGAGTCGATGTGTCCCAATGAGGCCCACGTCGGTGCTGAATCTCACGTTTGTTCAAGTAATGTACTGTGATCCTTACTAAAGCCGAACTATAAATAAGTACGGTTTCGTTCTAGAACTCCCTTATGAGAATCTGTTGTATGTGCAGGCTATATTATGCTTTTCATTGTCCTTTATATGCTGGAGCAGTATGCTACAGCTTCTGTCCTATGTCCTTTGACTTCGATCCGAATTTTCCTAACGTACGATAGTCGTGGTATCAGATTGTAGTCTAGCCACAACAGCTCTCGGATCTGATAAATTCACTAAACCTAGCAAGGGACTGTTCTAGACACAATAATAATATACGTTGGTTTTGCATATAGGAACAGACGAACGAAACAAGTCACCTACGTCCGGTACCTATCTCAATTGTGGGCGAAATATACCCAATTTCGGTGAATAGTCAGAGCTTACGCTTTTGAAATGGTGTACGTCTAGTAAAGTGCGTGGATTCTGTTGAAACATGTAGAAACGAGCACAGGGCGAGCTACATTGGCCACCATCATTTCTAATAAGAACTTAGAAAATATGTGGCGCTAACTAATTGCATAAGTAATTAAACTGCTTTTTGTATGGTAATTGATTTCTTTGCATGGTGATTTTCTTTAGATTCGTTCATACATATAGCCTTATCTATATGGAAAACAGTTTTTCAGAAACTAAGCTTTATATTAAGCTAAATATCTTAACAAATTTACCCAGAGCTTTGTTAAAAAGTAGATTCTTCTGTTCTGAAATAATTTTATGTCGTACACCATCATTCAAAGGTAGAAATCACTGCATATTTTCTCGTGGCTATTTGTTTCATTAACATATATGACACTTTACTATGATGGCGCACCGCTTCAACGCTGCAGTCATCCACATCCTATTATTGACCCTTGTGTCCCATTAAATGTGAACAAAAATGTTCTGGGCCCAAACCACTAAAATTTACTCATTAACAGTTTGCCCGTTCTTCATCCCACACCAACAATCAATGCAAAACGCGAGTTAAAGCGACATCACCACCGGTCCATATACATATCTTACATACAGAAAGGCGCCTTAAGATAAGCATGATCGAAAGTGAAGGAGCTATGCAGCGCCAGTTGTCTTTGTCTTGTCGTGGCGTGTATCGCACACAGCCACGGATGCATGCATTACTGCTTAGCTTGACGAGTCTCCCAAACCGCGCACGCAGCAGTTCTATGATGGTGTTTATTACCGCGCGTAAACAGCCTGACCTGTACAGCAAATACGCTCACTAATGTCTTTTTAAAGCGGGCGGCTGCTGTGAAACAGGGTCGCACATCTGACAAGCCCTTGTTCCATTATGCTTCCCTTTTTTTATGCTCTTCGAGCTACTCGCTCTATTGTCGCGGTTATTATAAGTTAATGGGACGTACTGACAAGATCTAGAAACTGAATTCGTAAAAGCACCCAGCAGTAAGCAACAAGAAACTAAGTTTTCGGTGCTGTTGCTTTATTGTGATTATAATAGAATGATAGTTCATTACGGAACCGCCGTTCTGGGTGCATCTTCTTCAACGCTAATGATAATGCCGCTTCTTGGTGATGACTGTTGTCGCCGGATCAGATGTTATCTAGGGCCTGATGGGGGGACCCTCGCTGAAGTAGGAATCTCAAACGGGATCGAAAGGGCTATAGCTTTCAGTAGGGTTCACCGTATGCGCGTGTAACTGTAAAACTTGTCGCCGAAACCTCTTCATTTAGAAGCAATTGTAATTGCCGGCTAGTTATTCTTCTCCGGAGCTAACGAAATGATTATTAAAACATCTGCTAATAAGCAGGGTACCAGCAGTCGCATCTGTTCGACAACACGGAAAAGAATTATCCACGTAGACGTGATTTGGCAAGCCAATACATACAGGCGTATAAATGGTGGTAACAGCAACGCCAACCGTAGCGCAGAAATTCCGAGAACATCGATCGTGAATGGATATAGTAGTAGTGTGTCTGTTTTCATTCGTGATAGCAACGATTGTTGCTTATGTTTTTATAGTGTCACTTATGTTAATGACGAGGCCACAGCGCATGACACAGGCCCCGTAGGTGCAGGAGTGGGTCAGCCAGATGATTTCTACGTGTTGTAATACACAGCGTTTAATGAGATATTTTGTAATAAATAAGACATATAGAATGAACACGATGAATTCGGGGATACGCTTTTTATGACTGACCGTTAAGATAATGTCATGTAACGTCTAAAATGTATGCGCATGCGTCGGCATTGTTTTATTTGCCCTCACTTTGTACAGCTAACATGACTATGGAATGGAGGAATTTTCTAAGCGTATTTTGACAGTCTAATCTACCTCGCCAAAAAGAACTCCAATGTACAAATAGAATAATGTTATATTTACGCTTGGGAGAACAACAGGCCGTTTACACTTGAAGCAGTGTTAATACCAGCCGGAAACCTACCTTTGGCCTATCCATATATATTATGTTCATCAAAACAGTCTTGTCACTACTGTAGGCACTGAATTTGCGCCTCTCACTGGAGATCGGCTTGAGTTATTTCTAGTCGATTAACATAAAATCTATTCCATCGAATAAATCAAAATCGTTTTTTAAAAATTTGAATTTAACATGATATGTGATACTTGTTGAATACATTTTTTAAAATTAAGTCGGTTTAGTTTGTTATTTGCAACAAGATCTGCTATTCACTAATCAATTTCCTGTATTACACTGAGGAGAAAGACGTTCACTTTAGCCATATTGGCTCACAAAGAAATTATATATTTGATTTTTTAATTTATTCACAAGTGTTTTCCTCAAAAGGAGGACAGTTCACTACCAACGTTCTACAAAACTAAGTACCACTGTCCTTAAATTAAGTAAACCGAAATAAACCGATTGGTGTATCAGACTTAATACAAATAATGGAAAAATGGTAAACTGACCCTAGCTTCAATCAGAATGGCTTTTGTAAAAAGTGCAATAAGTTATCTCATTGAATAGTTCTCATATTGATTTACCAAATCTGGTTCGCGCAGGCCCCTAGTTAAGACAGCGCGGTGAGAAGAAAATTAGTGAAACGAGTTTCTACCCAAGAATGATCATTACGACGAAATATCGCCCCATAGCCGTGTAAAGGTTATGCAAAAGCATAAAAAAAAAGTGTATGCAGTTGTTCACATCGGTTCGTACGCAAAACGCATTTTCAGTAACAAACTGTATGTCGTAATAGCCTTGTCATATATTTTTCCTCATTTAGAACTTAAAACTATAAAATGTACATTCCCGTTTCACATGCTGCTTCAGGACCTACTATGGCTGATTAACACAATTTACGTTACTAACACACTTATTACACTGCGCAAAAAAATATGGAACTACAGGG